CCGAGGCCAGAAGCCCTGCTAATGTTTAGTAGCAGTTGATTGCAAGCTCGTTAGAATATGCATAAAGCATCGTTGTTAAATGCTCTTTCTCTTTGCGCGGTGTGCCCCGGGTGAATTTAATGGATGCGTGCAGCTACTCTTCTTCGGGCCGCCGTGTCTGAACGCGCGTGCAGCCGCAGAAATGTTGCTGGTGTCGCTCGATTTGGCTCGGAGAAGCACAGCCTTCCGATGGAATAGCTGGGCGAGGTGGGCGAGGATGGGGGTGAAGTTAATTATGAGAAGGGTGGATGCTGCTTGTATGGGAAATAATACCAGCAGTTGTAAGACGTTAAAGGGAATTGGAATATTGTTGAGGAGAATTGTGGAGGGGTTGCGAGGAGGAGATGAGACGATAAATGGGAGGAAGTTGTAGTAAGTATATCACATCTTTTGTGAAACGCAGTATTTACTTTTGCTCCTCTGCGACTAGAACTTTCGACAAACATTTCCCAGTGAAATTGTTAGTATCGTAGAGAACACTTTCGTTGATAATTAATTAATTAATAAATCTCTCGATTTTAGAGCGAACATTTTCAGTGCCATGTTCCAGTTCCATTTGATCGGGGTCGTTTAACACTAAACGTATCGGCATTTTATATATATCTATCTTACCATAAGGGGTCTCGGTAAAAAATAAGCTAAGAGAAAAACAGAAAACGAGAAATTGAATAATTCAGATAGAGCTAAGAGAAGAACAGAAAACGAGAAATTGAATAATCAGATAATATAAGAAATTTACAAAAAGGCAGATTAGCGAAAGGAATAACAACGAATGTACAATTTTAAAGTAAATTTTGAAAAGGGGTTATTTGACCCTGCTTGGTACGTTTAGTGTTAATGTCGTGATGGATTATTATAAAGATTGTATTTGCTAGATCTTTAGGCCGAATTACTCTTGATAATTTAACGGAAGAAACGATAGGAATTCACAGGATTGTTTTTCCCTCAAAGGTTTTCAGACGTACGTTTCGTTTCGAATGAAAATTCAAGCAGATCAAAATTGATGACGATGCCTTTGTCGAGCATTTCTGCATATTCGCCAGCTGTGTTAATAATACACGATGTTCTGCAAACGATTACGTTTTAAATTATAAATCAAAGGATACGATATACCAGTCGGTCACGTGAAATTTTAATCATGTTACTTTCCATTTACGTTGTAAACGTAATTTATCCGATTCGTTGATATCAAACTCTCTCAATTAATAAATGATATTCTTACAATTCCATTCTTTATCTAAAATCTTATTTTTTATTAAACAAACACGTTTGATCGTCCGTACGAGGTATTTCACACAAAATACTACTTTCTTACAGCAAATTTTCTTCTTCAAAATCAAGGGGTGTTGCAAATTTTGAGGATTAGTTTCAAAGAGTGAAATTGCTTGCTTTCCTTGTTTAAAGAAATAAAATTGCAGCCACGTGTCGAATTTTCGTTATTATCGGAAACCTTCGTTCGAAACGTTTCGCGCTTCGTTCCTGCTTCTGTGGTTAAAAAGTTACGACAAAGAGTAATTTCGAAAGAGGATCGAAAGATAATTAAAAGTTGATATTGAATGCACTTTAAAATCTGTGCTCCGTCGAGTAATTGAATCTCCCGTCAATTTTAAAATAAATGTTCAATATTTCACTGCGGCTGCTTTGCGATCATGTTTCAACCGATCGCGTCCAATTTCTCTTTTTTCTTCTTCTAGTTTAATAAAAAAAAAAAAAAAAAAGAATAAAAAGTTCCTCGATCTGATCCACGGCAGCGGGCAAATTAACATCCCGATTCCACGTATTACGAATGCGATTAAGCAGAATTTCACGCGCAGTTGTCGGGATTCTCCGACGATTTCCAAAGCTCGTTCCCGTCGCCTGGAAATCTTCAAGTTTGGTTTATCGGATCCTACGTTCTCGCAAGCGTTTAGGGGAGTTTGAAAACCGATTAGGAGTGTATTTCGAAGCATCAAAACTAACAGATACTTTGCGCAGTCCGGCTGCCTCGAAACTCGACCGTCCCACTGCCACGAAGTTGCTGCCTCGGTCGCCGCCACTCCACCACGACATTTATTAACCTTGCCATCGGAGTTGCTCGCTATCTATCTGCACTGTCTGCTCCTCGGTTATATACCGGGAGTATCGGCAAAGCAGAGATTAACAGTTTGACGAAGTTATAAACGGCTGGCTGGATCGAACGATAAAATTCATTGTTGCCAGATTTTCACGTGATACTGCACGATTTGTTTGACCACGGATGAATAGAAAAGAAAAGAATTAATCTAATCGTTCAGTTTGAATTTTCACGTTCTAAATTCACTCCTGATATTCGACGAATATCAAATGGTTCAACGACATAGATAAATCTATTCACTCAACAACAAATTGCTCTCGAGATAGGGAAGCATATTTATCGAATGTAGCGATGTAGCTCTACGCGGAAGAGATAAATTAAAGGAGGAATACGAATCGGTGCCGTTTCACCGCGAGGAAAGAAATCGGAGAAACTGTCAATCGAGAGCGCCACGCATCTGCCACTTACCCGAGCCTCGATCGTTACAGTACCTTTTTTCCCACAATGACGCTCCATTTCGTCACAATTATCGCCATTATTCGCCGCGAGAGGAGCATTTTAGCCACGCCGCACAATGGACCCGGTATCTATATACACTCAGCCTGTGTGCTTGCTATATCCGACGTATATCTGTACACATTTACAAGCACGCACAGTGAGACGTAAGAACATTTCACACACTCACGCGTGCGTTGCGTGTTGCGAGCTGAAGACGAAGCGAAGCGGGGGCAAAAATCGAGCGTCGATCTCCCTCCTCCCTCTGGTTGCATCGTCTCTCGTTTTTATTGTGTTTTGACAGCAGGTTTCGTGTGGCCACCTTTCCTGCTTTTCTTCGCGACAAACGATACTGTTTCTTCTGGCTACTACTTTAAGAGCGGCGATCTTATCCGAACGAGGTGGAAGAACGCACGAAAGTAGCAAAAATGGATACTCGAACGCTTCTTATTATGACGGTTTCTCGCGAGGCAATTGTATCTGATCGGTCTGAATATAGAGTTACTGGAACATCGGGGCGAGATAAATAAGCCTTAGGGACACGATAGATTTGTTGGGGAATTTGTTGGCTCCTTTCAACAGCTACGTTTTGTCGTTTCTTTTTTTTTCAACGTTCGAAGAATAGTTTAGTATTTTAATATTTCGAAGCATTGGCGGACTATATTTCAGAATGAAACTTATAATTGCAATATTCGTATCTTCTTCGTAGATATATTCTACGAAAGCATTTTTTTCTTGTCTGAGAAAAGAGAAGAGGAAAACGTGCATGCCAAATTTCAGTATTCATCATGGTTTTTCAATATCCTTCGTTCCGTCTTTCGAGCGGGTCTTCAATTCAAATTCAAAGCTACCGAGAAAGTTGCAAGACGAGGCTAGAGTACAGTGAAACTTGGTCAGGAAACAAATAAGAATACCTAGATCTGACGGGAGTACTGATTGAAATTGAGCTAATCTAAACCTAACCTAAACCTAAATCTAACCTAAACCTAACCTAGACCCGACAGGAGTACTGATTGA